TCCTAGAACCAAAATTTGTAAAATTAAAACAAATAAATTCTCAATGGGTTCAAATCCACAGTACTAACCTTTGCCACACGTTTTGGAGGGCTTTCTTTTGCGACATCTAGAAGTCGTTTCGTAAGTCGGGTAGTTTTTGCATCAACAGGATTATTTGTGTCAAGTTCTGGTTTTTTCTGGTCTTCTAACAACTCATTTCCAACATACTCATTCTCGTTTGAATACATAGTGTAGGTTTTTTCGCGACGACTTTCTGAGATTTGGATCTGACATATATCGGATCGGTACGTTATAAATCATTGCAAAATAGATCAAGAAAAACCAACCCATAGGATCTTGTAACCTACCCTGTGCCTTTTTTCGATAACACAAGACCAATCGGCTTTATCTTTAATTATCTGTATTTTCATAATTGAAAAGAGTTAGAATGTGCTTATCAAGGAAAGAGACACAATATTGACAATGCTGGGATAAAAGAATGCGCAATGTTGGGGATGAGGGATGCGCGACCTTGGGTAAACGCAATGTACCTAACTACCCGCAATCAGGGCGTTAACCTGACTGGAACTTCCGACAACATCACTAGGGCGAGGGTTGCGCGACTTTGGGTAAACGCAATGTACCTAACTACCCGCAATCAGGGCGATAACCTGAAGCGAATGCCCTAAACAGAATTTAAGATATACTTTCCTTGGTACGTAATATATTTGAAGCTAACTCGAAACGCTTTATCCACGAACCCTCCAATGCCAAGAGTTCATTCGATTTTGGAGTTGATCTGGCTACGAAGTCAACATTCAAACGAACAAATTCTGACAAAGAAGGGATAACGTTCTGATCTGATGCCCACGCGAAATATGACTTAAAAACTGAAAATTTGATATTGTATTGGTAAGTGAATGTAGAAAGTCGCGTCAGTTTCAGAAAACGTGTACTTGCCATCGAAACCATACGGTTTTTTCTTTTGTTGGCTCATAGTAGGGAGAGTAAACAAAATAGATAATTTTCATGTACATTACACATGGATAACCTTATGTATAAGCAAACACATGACAAACTTTTAGCGACGGCCCGTCGCCGAAACACGTCGTTACTGCGCCTTATTACTGTATATTATTAACTATCGGATATTTACATATTACAGTAACGAATTCCCATATTTCACGAATTCGATTATATCGGTAATGCATTTGCGGCAGTAATAATATCACTAATCGCATCTGATCTTAATTTTTTATACGCGGAAAAAATAAGTCATACCATTTCGGAAAAATTATTGATATACATTACTCAAAAAATAACACATGATACGTTGTACGTTCCTCTAACGAAAAATCTTTATTAATAAATATATTATGATAAAAATACAGGAAAAATTATATGATATATGAAGAAAAATCTATCTATTTATGGGATGGAGATGTTACTGTGGGACTTTGAGTAGCATTTCTTGGTGGACGTGTATTGGCTTGCTCTAGAGCTTGTATCAATAAGCTTTGGTTTACAATCATAATATT